TATACGATGTGAAGGTACACTGCTGACAGAACATCATCCTCACCTGACCTTTATTTTGACAGGCTTTCAGAATCCGGTTAAGGCTTTAGTAGCCGTCAGACTACGACTTCTTGAAAAAACCCTTTAACAGATTTGCCAGCCGATAACTAATTGGTTTCATCGCTCCTTTTTTTCTGTTATGCAAACGAACATTTCTTGTGCAAAGTCTCCCGGTAAAGGAAACACCTAATTTGTCATTTTTCGAAGTTGTAATCCTGCCGTTCCTCTGAGGGTACTTCTTCTAATGTCCTGGGTAGGGAGGCTATTTCCGAAAGGGGTACCATTTTGAGGCTTCAGGTATATGGAAGGGTTGGTGTTTTACTAGTTGAAGTACTTAATAGTGTAGAGAACTCCGTCATTTCGGTCTGTAGGAAGATCTAAAAGGGCTAGCGGAAGGATTTTATGGCTGTGAAAAAGTCGACAAATTTTTCTGCCTTTGTGATTTATTCATATCTTAAAGACAGTGCGTTGATCTCCCTTCATGCAAAGTTCTAAACTACGCATGTGAAAGGGGCATCTTTTCTGTTGAAAATTACATAATATTATGTTGTTGGACCTCGGGGCGGAGCCTCCAAGTATAAAACTGTGTTGAGTACCCCCCCCCCCCCCTCCTTCCCGATGTCGTCCATGTAGTTTTAGTATGTAAACCTGATGATTATTTTTTCAGGTCTTCCAATATTCACAAACGTTCCACCTTTACTTGCTGCACCGGTACAAGGCACTACACTCCAAGTAACCTGTCAAGCTGAAGGCTATCCTCGTCCCGTCGTAACCTGGACTAGAGCAGCAATGCCTTTACCTGCTGGAAAAACGAAAATAAACCAAGGCACACTTACCATTAACAACTTGATTCCTGCCGACAACGGTTTATACGACTGTGTAGCTACTAATATCATGGGAACAAAGAAAAGTAGAGTCAACGTGGCAGTGCAGCGTAGCTCAGCTGCAGGTTTGTCTTAGGCTGTTAGGTCCGCACAGACATAAATTAAACATTTAGTAACATAAACATCAGGCCCCAGTTGTTCAAAAGGGATAAATCACTATCCAGTGGATAAGTATTAGGGAAACCAATTGCACTATCCACTGGATAGAGATTTATCCACTGGATAGCGCTATCCACCTTTTAGCCCAACTGGGGCCTGGTGACCTGTGTTAAAGGTCACAGAGATCGCAAGACCAAGGGTTACTGAATCCTGTTTAAGACTACTTTAATAGGCTTAGCTGACTCAGACTACAGTGTATACTTAAGTGGAATGTAAAACATATTGGACCGCCGTTTAGGTATAAATCCTAAAATTTGCTCTCCAGAAAATAAAGTGACTTTTGCTATCTAGCCTCTAGTCACTCGCAATGTTACACTTGATAAAGGATTCATTTGATGCCGAATTTTTAAACAGTTCTACTTGGCTCCAACAGAGTTCTTTTGTCAAATAGCAAAAGTCGAATTTTTTTCCCCCAGGTTTGCACGACTCCGTTATTGTGGGAAACAACAAAAATCACTTAACCTCGTTAAGCAACTGGCTTGTACCTATCACAAAAAGCGTCAATTCTCTCTGGAAGCGCTGCTGGCGTGCATCCGTGGACGGCTGGGCTGCAAGTACATTTCACTCACGATGTGACAGCAAGGGCCCGACTGTAACAATAATAAGGGTCGGGAGATATATTTTCGGAGGATACACTAGTATTTCATGGGGTAAGTAAGCATTGTAATCCATGAAAGTGCCATCTATACCTTTGGCGTAATTGACATTCATATGATCAGCTAAAAGTGGAGCTTGGTACTTAACAGTGTGGAATCATGTTACTCTACCTTTCATACATGGTTAAGCATTGGCGTACAAAGGTTCTAGGTTAATAGCTCTAGATGTGAACCCATATCCCCTCGTTCCTCAAGGGGCGAGGACCACCCCTCCTACACTCACATGGTGTGAATGAGCGCCACCCTCCACCCCACTTCTCAAGTTCTGGTTCTGGAGATGATAAGTGATGTATTTCTAGCCTGTCAAAACGTGCCCAAATTCCAGGCTAATACTATTGTAATAATAATTTTGAGGTTATAAAATATCAGTATTGTTCTGACTTTCTTGCCACCCTGCTATCTTCCATCCCTCAGTTCCCATATTGCAAAAGTAGCGACTAACGAACTTCACCACAGGTTTTTGGGGAAATTCGCAAATTTTGGCAAAGGATTAAAAAAACACGCTCTTTTGACATGTCCACGTACGTGATACACCAAGACGAAGGTTCATTTCACCGATCAAACTTTCGTAATTTTGCCTGAGCGAAATGTCGCGAAGAGGATATTTCTCTTCGGACTCGAACGAATTTATTAGACTGAAATGGGTGACAGAAATACATAATGTTTTATACCTTTTCAAGGATAAAGGTTCCTAAAACTCTTTATTATCTGTTTCCTTTATTGTCTTCTTAATACAGTACCCTCAAAATCGAACGAAGTATTAATTTGCCAATAAAAGTGTATTGCGACATGCACCAGTTCATGTAAAAAAAACGTTAAAAAAGAAGCTTCTAGCTTCGGCAATGGCAAAAAAGACAAAAACAGATAAATTTGGAGATTTGCTCCATAAATTTATAAAAGAACATACCTTATTAATTGCTAATTTTTTTCCCCGATCTATTGCTTGTAATTGCAAATCTTTTATAAATAACATCTCCCACAGGCCGGCACCTTAGCCTCGGTGAGCTTGCAGCCACGTAAAACTTTCTCCTGAGCGGACGAACCACGCTTGCCATGAGTATAGCTGTATCTTTTACCAAAATACCTGGACGTAAATAATAATGCGATAAAATAATATTCATACTAATAATAATGATGATAATGATGATAATAATAATAATAATAATAATAATATAATAATGATAACAATAATGTTGATAATGATAATGATAATAATAAAGAAGACATAGAAACTGATTTCGTTTTTGATAAATGACGAACGTTACTGAGAAACTCGATCGAATTTGTTTTATGAGAATAAGGTATTTACTGTTTTTAATTAATAATAATGATAATCATCGTCATCATTATGACAGGCACAAAGACAATGTCGCTAACTTATCTTAGAAAAGTTTTGTTTCATTTCTTTTAGCTTCTGGTTCTGGCCGGTATCAATACGACTCAAAAGCCTTCTTATTTTCGCTGGTAAACAAGCCAGGATGGGCGCCTGTCAAATTGTCTCAGTCAGGGCAATATAGTTCTTACAAACGTTCCATATACTTTTACTCATCCTATGGGCCTACATTCGGAGACGGATATGACATTAACATCAAAAACTACGCGTCATCTAATAGCTATTCTTACAGCAACCTTGGCTGGACTTACAGCCCACCGAGCGGGTACAGCCTCTCCAGCACCTTCGCACGAACATTCTTTGCGGGAACACACAGATTCACACCAGACGAAGTTGAAACCTTTTACGAAACAACCTAATTAATATAATTCGTGACACTGGCTTTGATATTTGAGCTGAGCTTATTGTTTAAGGAGACGCTTTGAGGTTAACGAATCTACAGCACTAAGCAAGCCCCTTCTATCTAAATCACAATACAATCACTAGAACGTATACTACAACATTTTACAAACAAACGAAAAAAAGAATTGTCAAAAAGAGAAATGATTTTGATATCTACAACTGGTCCAACTGCGCTGATCTTTTTTTTACCTGGATACGAGTCTGGGGGCAGCTATACTGTCATCTGTCAGAAAACAGTTACTTCCTTATCATGAGGGCAAAGAAGTCTCAGCTTCCGAGTAAACAAAGTTGAAAAAAAAAAAGCGGTACAGTGATATTCTACTGAACCAGGCTGTCCTCACTCCTTTGTTGCCAAATGCGATACCACTAATAATAGTAATCAAAGATTAAGATTACTAGTTGCTTAACGCGGCAACACTATCTCATATACAGGAATAGACTGCTTGCAGACACGTGGCGATCACCTTCTAGAAGTGTAGTAATTAAAATTACCAGCGTTGGGTTACTACCTCATGTAAGCCCTACGTATAAAATCTGAGGCACATCAGTATCCTTTATGACAGACCTATTATATAAAATATTATAAATAAGATATACCCTTATAGGAAATTTCTACTGATAATAAATAAATAAAAGATCACGTTTACGGGCTAGTATTAATTGTTAATGTACAGACGAGAATTAAAATTCAATAAAATTACTCATGTTTGTCATAAAAAGAGAGCTTTATTCTCTCAACGTTATCAATAATGAGGGTTAATGGTCACGGGGTCAAACTTGTTTCCTTTCCTGTAAACGTGATGTTTGATTTCAGCAGTAATTTAAAATATGGTATCTGTTGGAACTTTGACCACGTTTGACACAGGAGGAAGGTTAACAACCGGCAGAGAAGCCCGGCTCACGTCAATCTAATGTAAGCTAATTTACTACACTTGTTTTTATGGGCTTAAGGAGAAGGGATCAGGTTTAACTTGCAACTTTCCCTCAAGCTTGGAGTGACTGTGACAGAAAACAAGAATTGAATTAAATAAATTACTCAAGCTCGAATGTTTGTTGTTAGAAAAAGAGAAACTTTATACTCTCCACGTTATCAAGAATGAAGAATAAAGCCAATGGTCACGTGGTCAACCTCTTACCTTTCCTGTAAACGTGATGTTTGATTTCTGCAATTATTTTAGAATAAGGAAACTGCTTGAACTTTGACCACATTTGAGTGCATCAAGAAGAAAGTTACAGCTTACGTCTATCTAATGTAAGCCAACACTCTTGTTTTTCTGGGCTAAATCAGAAGCGGATCAAGTCTAACTTGCAGCTTTCCCTCAAACTCCCATCTTCGAGTGGCTGTGAAAGAAAACGATCGTAAAACTACAAAAATGAAAACCGTAAACTCTTCAAAATCTCAAGGAGTCCTTGAGTTTGTTCCGTCAAGTAGACCATCGTTCCTTTCGGTGGTATTAGTTTTCGTTTGCGGATGTCTCTGGGTGAAAAATGAAGCAACAAACGAACGACTGATTTCACTGGAATCTCGTATTTATTGCGTTCCTTGCAGTAAGCGTGGCACCATTGATAATCTTGACAGGATGACTTTCTCGCCGACAAAAGATATCGCAGTAGACCTTTCCAAGAAGATGCAGAAACAAGTTTCAGATGATGGGAACGGCTATACCTCTGGTAAAATTTATTCTTACTCTTCTTACTTGGATGGCCTTGTGTACATTGAGGACCGGATGTTCAGACCTGCTTTTATCCTCCCTCGGTTAAGACATAACCTTTCATGACGTGCGTTCGCGTTAACAACACGGGATCTTTTTCAATTTCAAAATAGTATTAGATTTTAACTTAGACTGTATATCCTAGATATCAGTAATTATGCCACTGCTACTGATCAAAAACCGAAGAGATCTACAGCGTAAATGAATTTGAATTTATAAATAATGTGTTTACAAGGGCAGAACAAGATTCCTTCACGGGCCAGATACAGATAGTCGATATCGTTACTATATAGCTTTTCAGCAAGATTGTCTTTTTAGGATTTTTAGCTAGACGACATTAGATGAGGTTCCTTAAACATTTCTTTGAGTGTAGGCTGCATGTGCTCCTGGTTTGAGGTTATTTTGGGTCTCGGAATTGAAAGGTATTGCGTGACCAATTTCAAGCAATAATGACCCAGTTTTTGGCAATTTATTTTTAGATTTATCTGTTTGCTTTAGATTGAGCAATTTTCGTTTAGCACTTTCTGGATAAATTTTCGAATAGTATAGACATTATAGATCAGTATAGACAAAAGGCGTGTATTAAAAGATTATTCAGTCATGGAGATATTTTCGTTTCTTTCAAAGGAGTTAAGTCTAATTTGAAAAACCTTTCTTAATTTTACTTTACTGTAGTCAGCCCGTTGCCAATAAAGGCATCAGCAACCATCCGGGTAAGAAAGCGAAGACACTTTTTCAACGACACTTCGATTCTCACTTCTTGTATGGCATCACCATACAAGAAGTGAGAAAAGAAATCAGCAAACAGTTTGAACAACTTATGCCCACAAAGTACTGTAAGTCAAGTGAGAAGGTATTTCCTGCAGGTCCCCCCGGATATCCTGGTCCCATTGGAGCGAGGGGACCACGCGGCAGGACGGGACCAAAGGGAAAGAAAGGTCCTCAAGGTCCCATGGGACCTCCTGAAAAATCCGGATAAACAGGACTAACTGGTCCCGCAGGACCGAGAGGAAAAAAGGGAGATAAAGGAGACCCTGGGCCAAAAGGCATGCCGGGACCACCTGGAAGGCCTGGAAAATCGATATCTGCTCCACAAGTGATGCTGACGCCAGCAGAGCAGACACGAGATGAGGGAGGAAATACGGCATTGTATTGCACTGTCGCGGGAAATCCTTCCCCAGTCGTGGAATGGCAATTTAAGGGTAGAAAGATTCTGTCCGGTGGAAAGTATTTGATTAAAGAAGGAGAGTTGATTGTCAGAAATCTGAATTACAGCGATGTTGGGCCGTACACATGTGCTGCTAGGAACATTCTTGGATCGTCCGAGGCCACTGGTAACTTGTCTGTTCGAGGTGAGAGAAGCATTTCATTCTTGAGGTTTGTTGTATAACAGGCCGTCAAATTTTGTTCGTTATATCAGTATGATATGTTACATGTTCTTGCAAGGTAATAAGGTTGCGAGAATATGACGGCGCATAAACATCTCAAGAAAACTATACGATGTGAAGGCACACTGACAGAATATCATCCTCGCCTGACCTTTATTTTGGCACGCTTTCAGAATTCGGTTAAGGCTTTAGTAGCCGTCAGACTACGACTTCTTGAAAAAACCCTTTAACAGATTTGCCAGCTAGCTAATAACTAATTGGTTTCATCGCTCCTTTTCTTTTCTGTTATGCAAACAAACATTTCTTGTACAAAGTTTCCCGGAAGAGAAAACACCTAATTTTGTCATTTTTCTCAGTTGTAATCCTGCCGTTCCCCGGAGGGTATTTCTCAGAATGTCCTGTGCAGGGAGCCGACTCCTTCCTAAAGGGGTACCATTTTGAAGCTTCAGGTATATGAAAGGGTCCGTGTTTTACTAGTTGAAGTATATAATAGTGTAGGGAAATCTGTCATTTCGGTCTCTAAGAAGATCTAAAAGGGCTAGCGGAAGGATTTTATGGCTGTGAAAAAGTCGACAAATTTTTCTGCCTTTGTTATTTATTCATATTTTTAAGACAGTGCGTTGATCTCCCTTCATGCAAAGTTCTAAGCTACGTATGTGAAAGGGGCATGAGTCGGACCTTTTCTGTTGAAAATTACATATGGTGTTGTACCTCGGGGCGGAGCCTCCAAGTACAAAACTGTGTTGAGTACCTCCCCCACCCCCTTCTTCCCGATGTCGTCCATGTAGTTTTAGCATGTAAACCTGATAATTACTTTTCCAGGTCTTCCAATATTTACAAAAGTTCCACCTTTGCTTGCTGCACCGGTACAAGGAACCACATTCCAAGTAACCTGTCAAGCTGAAGGCTATCCTCGTCCCGTCGTAACCTGGACTAGAGTAGGAATGCCTTTACCTGCTGGAAAAACGAAAATAAACCAAGGCACACTTACCATTAACAACTTGATTCCTGCCGATACCGGTTTATACGACTGTGTAGCTACTAATATCATGGGAACAAAGAAAAGTAGGGTGAGCGTGGCAGTGCAGCGTAGCTCAGCTGCAGGTTTGTCTTAGGCTGCAAGGTCCGCACAGACTTAAATTAAACATTTAGTAACATACACATCAGGCCCCAGTTGTTCAAAAGCTGGATGGCGCTATCCATCGCATAAATCACTATCCAGTGGATAAGTATTAGGGAAACCAATTGCTCTATCCACTGGATAGAGATTTATCCGCTGGATAGCGCTATTCACCTTTTCCCCCAACTGGCGCCTGGTGACCTTTGTTAAAGGTCACAGAGATCGCAAGACCAAGGGTTCCTGAATCCTGTGTAAGACTACTTTAATAGGCTTAGCTGACTCAGACTACAGTGTATACTTAAGTGGAATGTGAAACATATAGGACCGCCGTTAGTGATGGCTTTTATTTATTGTTATAAAGCAGTGTCGTTGTTAAAGGGTGAATATGCTTGTGTAGCAATTGTTTAAAGGGAGAGAGGGAGGGAAGGCTATACTCGAGTTTAAGTATAAATCCTAAAAATTTGCTCTCCCGAAAATAAAGTGACTTTTGCTATCTAGCCTCTAGTCACTCGCAATGTTACACTTGATAAAGGATTCATTTGATGTCGAATTTTTAAACAGTTCTACTCGGCTCCAACAGAGTTCTTTTGTCAAATAGTAAAAGTCGAATTTTTTTCCCCCAGGTTTGCACGACTCTGTTATTGTGGGAAACAACAAAAATCACTTAACCTCGTTAAGCAACTGGTTTGCACCTGTCACAGAAAGCGTCAATTCTCTCTGGAAGCGCTGTTGGCGTTCATCCATGAACGGCTGGGCTGCAAGTACATTTCACTCCCGATGTGACGGCAAGAGTCCGACTGTAACAATAATAAGGGTCGGGAGATACATTTTTGGAGGATACACCAGCATTTCATGGGGTAAGTCAACACTGTAAAGCAGCAGATTTTAATGCATGAACCACCAGTACGGTTATTTAAGCATATGTTCAGCTAAAAGTGCAGCTTGGTAATGCCCTATATAAAAGACTCAGTTAACCCTGCCATTCATTCATGGTTAAGTAGTGACGGATAAAGATTTATGGTTGGCGGATTTAGATGCATGCGGGCATGCATCCCCCACCCTTCAAGGACCGAGGATCGCCCCACCTCAGTAGACTTAAAAAGGTGTGAATGAGCCCCAACCTCGCGCCCCCTCTCCTCAAGATCTGAATCAGCAAAGTGATGAGAATTTCTAGCCTGCAAAACGAACCTAACAATAATAATGATAATAACAATAATAATAATTCTTATTATAATAAATAATAAAATAACAAAGGCTTCATTACTGTGGTAAGAGTATTATGACTAATTCACCAGATTATAGAAAGCTTTGGGAAATGTTGACAAAAAGAACAACACATGAATTTGGAGGCTTTGTTTTCTTAACTCACACGAAACATTCTAATATAATTCTTGTTCTTTTTTTCTCGTCAATTGCTTTCATAATTGCAAATCTCTGCTAATTGACACTTCTCGTAGTCAGGCACCTCACCTCAGCTCCCATAAGCGGACAGTTCCTTAAACCTGGTCCTCCCTAGCGACGCAAGTATATATAGCATGTGCATAGTAAGGATCTAATGAGGACGGCTTAAACTAGATAGAAACCATAAGTACAAGAATATCAAAACCTTGGGTTTTTCTTAAGCTCATGCTTTTTATGATAGTGCACATTAAGCTTTTCGTGCTCATGCTTGTTTTTATGCTTAAGTTATGCTCATGCTTTTACTACGTATGCTTACGCTAAATGCGTCGCTCGTGAAAACCGGGTCTTAGTCTTGATCCTTGTACGCATGCCTGTAGCTACATAGAAACACGGATCTTAATCTACCTTTAGAGGAAATCTCTCCTAAACTGAAGAACTGACTACTGGTCTGGTTCAAAGAGTGACCGCTTACGGTAGATTCTATTATGACTAAAAGAATTTATAATAAAAATATTTATATTATAAGAAATTCCTGAAAAGAATTAGCTCTTGACAAACGTGCATTATATAGTCAAGAATGATTCGTCATACTTATGTAAACTAAGCAACTCGAATTTACTTCATTAAGAATTATCATTATTATTAATATCAATATCATTTTTTTTAGGTACTAGGGCAATGTTACTAATTTATTTTCACTTTCCCTTTTTACTTTCCCTCTTGTAGCATCATCATCTAGCCGCTATCAATACGACTCCAAAGCCTTTTTATTTTCACTGGTGAACAAACCAGGATGGGTGCCTGTTAAACTGTCTCAGACAGGGAAATATAGCTCTCACAAAGCTTATTCCATATACTTTATTTCCTCATATGGGCCCACATTCGGAGGAGGACACGACATTAACATAAAAAGCCACGCATCATCCAATAGCAATTCTTACAGCAACCTTGGCCATGATTACGGCCCACCGAGCGGGTACAGCCCCGGCAGCACCTTTGCACGAACATTCCTGGCAGGAACTTACAAGTTCACACCAGACGAAGTTGAAACCTTTTACGAAACAACGTAGCTAAATAAAATGAATAACATCGGCTCTAATATTTGAGCTGTGGTTGTCTCTCACTAAAAGTACTGCTTTTTAACAGTAACTTAGCTCTGCAGTAAACTTTCACACTTGGTTGCTATCTTAAACGAGGTTAGGATATATTATTTGAGATAAGATAGCCCAATAATATATTATTATTAATATATTATTGATTCTTAGAGCAACCTTGGCCATACTTATAGCGGGTACAGCTACCGCAGCACCTTCGCACAAACATTCCTGGCAGGAACTTACAAGTTCACACCAGACGAAGTTGAAACCTTTTACGAAACAACCTAGCTAAATAAAATGAATGACATCGGCTCTGATATTTGAGCTGAGATGGTTGTCTTTCACTAAAAGTACTACATATTTAGTTCTAGTAAACTTTCAACATTTGGCTGCTTGCTAAAACGAGGTCAGGAAAAGAAGCCCAGAAATATATTATGAATAGAAAGTAAGATAAATTTGTTATCAGGTATATGCCAGTGCTCTAAGTCCATCTCTTTTGTGTATTTAACATTGTAAGAGATGATTTAAAATTAAAAGTATATTATCACGAGGCGCGTCTTTTCGAATTAATTTAGGCCTCTTTTAAATGCCTGCGTAATGATAGGTTTTCTTACCCTTTCATATAATTATATTCATGAATTCCCTATCCTTTGATATAGCTGAGGCCTGAGCTGGAAAGGTCTCCCTTTCAGGCGGAGCCTCCCCGTATCGGCCATTATATTTCATATAGAGAGTGACCAACCCCCCCCCAACTCCCTTCCTTCCCACGACACTAAGTGAGAACCGTTTTTTGATTTGAGTTCTTATTCAAAGGCTGAAATCGACTACAAGATTAAAACGCGTTTCATTATTATTGCAGCAATCATTAAAAAAAAAAAAACAAAAAAAAAACAACGATCAAATAACACACACCAAAAAAACAGGAATCAATCATAAATATCAAGATTCAAATTTTTCCGTTTTTCGCCCCGCTACTTTTTTGAGCATGTTTTACAGTACTGCAACACGAAGATGCAAACAGGAAGAAGGTCAGTTATAACGGACAGACCATTAGGAAAGTCGCATTATCGTATGATTTTTTTTGTTAGCATTTCCTTTGCACGAATTTTTTGGCGTTACTTGGCGTGCATGAATTTTTTCATTTAGTTTTCTCTCGCACGAATATTATTTTCTTTTTGTACTTCACCTCCCCCACCCCCCGCTCCCCCATAAGTTAAGTTTTTTTTTTTTTATGGTTCGTCCCGTCCCTCATATAACACTGATTACAAATAAAGCCTTGTTATCTTTACGTCAATCGTCGTGACATGTTTCTCTTGGCTAAATTTTTAAGGATCAAGTTTTGCTGCCAAGTTTTCCACTTCCCTCCGTCTTCATACGCATGGGACGATTGGCAAGCTGCAGAAATGAAATCCTCGAACTCCCCGGCAGAATCTCGTCGTCTCCTTGATTTTGTTCCGTCAATAAGACCATCGTTTCTTTCTGTTGTATTAGTTTTCGTTTGCGGATGTCTCTGGGTGAAGAATGAAACAACAAACGAACGACTGATAGCGCTGGAATCTCGCGTTAACCTTTTCCCCAGTGTTAAGAGTGTCTCGACTGAAAATACTGACAGGATATCGCTTTCACCGACAGAAGTTACAGCAAGAGATCTTTATAAGAAGGTTCAGACACATGTATCCGAAAGGATCGGTTATACACCAGGTAAAAACTTCACTTAAGATGTTATTTAGATGCAGATACATGTTTAGAACTGGGTTTTAATCTCTTTTGATTTAGGCGTATAACCTTTCATAGTCTGTCTGGGAGCGAGTTTGCGCTTATACACGGGTTCTTTTCATAACAGAATTGAGTTTTTAACTTCATCAACTAACACTGTATGAATCCTTTTGTGATATATACTCTCACTCTTTTGTAATACTGCTTAGATATTCACTAAGACGCCTACACTGGTAAAACAATAAAAAAATGTACGGTGTAAATGATTTTCAATTCATAGCTTAAGTGTCGAACGACCAGCCAGCCAGGTCTAAAAACGACTATGGAGTTTAGAGGTTTGCATGGTGAGAAAACGGGTGTGGAAAATTGGTCTCAAATAGCCCTCTCTGAATCCCTGAAAATTGTTAGGGTGGCGTAAAATTTGAGATATTTGTAAATGCCCCTAAAGGCGTTCGGTTAAGGAGTCTTAGGGCCTGCCGGCTTACTTGATAAAACTTCGATAGGGTGGCAACAGGGCTTGAAATAATGGCCGG